TTCTTGCATCCTTAACATGCATTAATCAGTAGCTTGTTTTGGGTAAAAAGCAACTTCTGAAGTCACAAATGAAAAAGGCACATATTAGTAATTTTGGTATGATAAAAGGAATCAAAGAGGGAACATTTACTGAAGCGAGGGGAAGCATGAGCTACACAAAACAGGAAGTTGGAGACATAAAGTTGCATTTGTTAGAATACAATCACTGAATTAACTAGGAAATACGGGCATTATATCTTTTAGGAGGGTAAGTCAGATGCCAAAGAACAGAAGTTGCAATTATCAAATAAAGACATAATTATCCAAGTCTGAGTAAATAGCTGTTTTTGTTAAGTAGGTTGTGAGTGATGCTTTAAAAAAAAAAAAATAGAACGCAGAACAATATATTCTGCACTTCATTTTTATGAACTAATGCTCTTCTTTTGGCCGGTTTCAGCATTCCAAACAATGTTTTCTATTGCCTCCTAGTCTATTCTAGTTTTAAATAATTAATGAAAGAGTTCTTGGGTAATCATATAGCAGATATTATTAGCTTTAACATGACCCTTTGTTTTATGACAAATATATATATAAGCAATATATATTTATTTTAATATTCTTTGAAAGCAGTTCTGTTACCAGAAGCGTTTTTTTTTAGGAGTATCTTTGTACTAAAGCACATATATTGTAAGGTCATTAGAGACACAATGAAATAGAAAGGTCATTTAAAGCATTAATACATTGCTGTGAAGTTATATGCTAAATTATAATTTTCAAGTACTGTGAGTCAAGAATCATTACCCATTAAAGTAATCCATGTTAATAAAGAAAGGTGACACATATGTTGCACATGCTTTTTGAGCAATTCTAACATCTTCTGAGTAAACAGAAACATGTAAATTGTTCAGCAGAATTCATGCAGGTGATATTTTCCCCTAAATGAGATTCTTGCATATGTTAAAAAAACTAAAATAAAAATCAACTTACCCTTCTCTATGAGCTTCTCCTTTTTCCAACTCCTGAATAACACCCAACAAGACCTTTATGGTTTCCTGACTGGAGCTGATCAGATTCTCCATCATCTGTAACTGTGCTTTCAAATCTACCACTTCAGTGTGAGGCACAATTTGTTGACATCCTTCACTCACGGCAACTGCTGTCTGACAAGGCTGTTTCCCTTCCATAGGTGAAACATTTACCTGAAGGGTCTGTTCATTACATTGGGTAGACTGGCACGGTGCCTGCGCGGGGCAGGCCTGAGCTGTACTTACAGCTTGGGACTGCAGACCGTTAAGATGCAGAGTTCTTTTCCTTTCCTCCTCCTCGGCTGAACACAGGGACCAGTCATTCCCCGTTGCTGCCAAATGTTGCTGGTCAGCCAGTGAGGTGTGTGAACCAGATGTAGGCAAATAGACCGAAGCTACTTCTGTCTTGAACACTTTTCCTCGGCTGGCTGGATTAGCTTCCTCGTACCTCAGTGGCCCAGTGTGGTGTTTTGCTTTGTCATGCAGCTGGTAATCAGGCTCTTCCAAAACCGAAGCTGCTGACTCTTGTAGAGAAGGAGGTTCTTTACTACAGCTGTGCAAATCAGCGCTTATACATGTTTCCAAACCGTTGTCCTTAGAAGGCAGCTCTAGTGCGTTGATGCGTTCATTAGTATGTGAAATAAATTCAGCTGTCACAAATCCGCTGACTTTCTTGCTGCACTGAAGAGCCTCTCCTGAGATTTTGCTGTCTTTCTCTTTAACGTCAATTAGGAATCCGTTGTTTTGACTTGGGAAAGCGTCCACCGAAGCTATGCTTTTGATTATATTTCCCTTTTTCCGGTCCAAAGGGAAGGTCTGGTAACACTTTTTCAGCTCAGGCGAAGTCTGAACTCCTGTACTTTTAGTAACATTAGGGATTGATCTCCGGGCAGGAACGGTCATGTATTTTCGGTAAGCTGCTCTGTAAGAGATGGGTTTGGCTTCCTTTGGGTCACCCTGCTGTAACAAAGAGAGTTGTTTTTCCCTTTGCTCATTCTGGGCCTCGCAGATGTCTTTGAATCTCACCTGTAGGGCTTTGTTTCTCTTCTTGATTTGTCGGTTGGGATCCAATGCATATTTCATTTCTAAGGCAAGCGACGTTGCTGAGTCAACTTCACTCTCAGAAACCGCGAGCAAGCATTTGCTGGGTTCTTCGCTTCCCGTGGTACCTGAAATCAATAAGCAATATTAGGAAGACTGTTACCACCCTAGGTAAAGATGTTTTTATTCAAATGACATGATTTTTATAATAAATAAATAAAGCTCAGGACTTTTAGCTACCTAAAAAATGAACTCTTGCTTTTGAGAATAGGAAGCAGGGGTGGGTTTCAACCAGTCCACGGCAGTCTGCGCGGACCGGTTGGTCGGTGAACCTGGAAGTAAATAACTTCCGGGAACGCCAAAGGGCCCACCCGCCTGCCCTCGCTCCTTACCGGTCTTTAAAGGCTTCTGTGCTTCCACGCAGGTGCATGGCACATATAGCGCCTGCGCAATTCTCCACGAGCAGCTGGATGGCACATACAGCGCCTGCGCGATTCTCCGCGAGCAGCTGGAGCATCGTGCAGGCGCTAAGACGCATGTTTGAACTGCACGTGTGCACGAGGACGCCACCGGCCCCGTTCCAACCGGTACGGATTAGCAACCCACCACTGGTAGGAAAGTAGTGGTTTTTGTGTATTATAAAATATATAAATAACACCATCTCATGAAAATTAATGGACTAATAGATTAGAACTTTAAAAATAGTAATATGCATGGATAACAGAAGCAAATAATGAAATTCAAAAGACGTAGTAGTAAAAGTATGCAGATTTTCAAGTCACCCAGAATTCCTATTGGATAGGGGGATACAAGACCTAGACTAGATTCTGTGGCATCTAAGATATTTAGACTCAGACTACATACTAAAATTATATATATATATATATATA